GCTAATAATAATATTTTTTGCTTTACATGGTTATAATGTTATAAGAATTTCTTATCTTTTATTTTAGATACAAGGTATTTTTAAAGCTTGACACCCTATGTAGCACATTTGTTTAATAATTTGGACAAAAAATTGTTATTCAAATAACATTTTGTTTTTAAGCAATGAACATTAAATCTGCATTAAATCACAAAAGTAGGCGCATCTCCTGATATAAATTGACAGATCCCTTTTTTTTTGATGAAACAATCATTAAAACTTATAGAGTTTGATTTAAGCAATCAAATTATTAGGCGGATCAATTTATAAAATTTTGCAGATCACTTGATATGAATGGCGGATCACGTTGTTTTTTGGTAGAACAATCATTAAAATTTATAGAGTTTGATTCAATCAATCAAAATATTAGGAGAATCACTTTGTATAAATTGGCGGATCACTTGATATAAATTGCAGATCATGTTTTTTTTTGGTAGAACAATCATTTAAATTGATAGAGTTTGATCCAAACAATCAAAATAGTAAGTAAATTATTTCATAAATTTTCGCGGATCATTTCATATAAATTGGCGGATCACGTTGTTATTCGCTAGAACAATCATTAAAACTTTGAGTTTGATTCAAACAATCAAATTATTAGGCGGATCACTTGGTATAAATTGACAGATCACTTGATATAAATGTTGGATCATGTTGTTTTTTGGTAAAACAATCATTAAAATTAATAGAGTTTGATTCAAACAATCTTAATATTATGCGGATAACTTTGTATAAATTGGTGGATCACTTATTATAAATGGGGGATTATATTGTTTTTAGGTAGAACCAGGGGTGTGGAGTCATAAATAAAAAGTGACGACTCTGACTCCAGTTGTTGAAATTTTTTGAGTACAACTCCAACTCTGACTCCAACTCCGACTCCAACTGCGACTCCAACTCCAAAGCAAAATTTTTGAAAAATTCTTTGAATTCTTTAAAAAATATTGCTCGGTAAGTTGAAATTTTTTTTTGACAAATTTATGAAACATTCTTTGATGTTTAGTATGAACATAAGGTTAATTGAATGTTTTGCACGTGCAATACCAAGAAAAGTTACTATCGGATCGATATCGATATTTTTTAGCGACTCCGACTCTGGTAAAATTGTCGCAACTCCGCGACTCCGACTCCACAGCCCTGGGTCAAACAATCATTAAAACTAATGGAGCTTGATTCAAACGATCAAAATATAAGGCGGATAACTTGATAAATATTTGCGGATTATTTTATATAAATAGGCAGATTACATTGCTTTTTGGTAGAACAATCATTAAAACTAATAGAGTCTGATTCAAACAATCAAAATACTAGGTGGACAGGCTTGGTCGGGAAGCAGGAGCGATCGCTCTCGAATACTGACCACGGAAATTATATTTAGTTGCGAAAAACTGGCCAGGTTTTTTAGTCGTTTTGAGAACCTTTAAGTTTATGTACGAAACAAAAAATTTTTGTTTTACGGATATACATGGAAACATAAACAACTTGAATGTTCTCAAAATATCTTGGTGCGAAAGAATAAAAAGAATATTCGCCAACACTAAAAACCCGCCAAATTAACGAACAAAGTAATTTTATTGGTTCAAAAAATATGCTGACTAAGCGAAAGTTTAAGAGTATTTTGTTGAAATGTTTTAGAAATTGCATTATTATATATTATTGTATAATGTAGGATTTGTTACGTTTTGAGATTTCTAGCATAAATTGTTTTAAGAATATATATTATTTGTTTACAAAAAGAAATGTTTTAAATATATATTAATTAAATTATCAAAATTTTAAAAGTTTAATATAAATTATAGATTTTATTAGTATATTCTTATTTTTTATTTAAAAAGTATGTATTCTTTATGTAAATGTAATTGTGTGTATCTGTTTTTTATCGTAATGTATCTTTTAAAGCAATTATTATAATTTAAACAAAAACTTACACAAATATTTGCATTTTCAATGAAGTTATAATCGTCCAAATTAATAAAATTAATTATGTAACAAACATATAAGAAGTTTCTGGTTACTAAACACAAACAATGCATATGAAGTAACTCGCGGATGAACAAGCACCGCGTACGACAGAACACAAATATTTATAGCAAATAATTAAATACAAAGAAAAGTTTCTAGATATTGGTTTACTGACTCTAATTATTTTTGCTTAAGTTGCCATTCTTAAAACTCGTTATATGTTTTTTCTGCTTTGAATACTAATTAAAATTAAAAAGCCCACTCACTAAACATCATCAGCGATATTGTGAAGCAGTTTCGCTTCCTCGTCATTAAGTATTTTTAACCTTTTTAGTTGATTTCTATTTTGTTAATTTAATTTCTATAGTAATTCAATGATTTAACTATTTCATTTGTTCATATTTCATAGAAGAATTGCTTCAAATATGTTAAATTTTTCAAACTACGCGAAACATAAAATAGGTATTAAAAAAATAAACTTTTTTATTTATAAAATAATTTAGCTTAAATAAAACTAAAACTTGCAAACTTTTTTAATAAAGAAATTTGTTTCCTTTTTAAACAATCGTAAGTTGTTACTTTATATAAAAAACATCGCCTAATTTTATAAAAAAATTATAAAAGAGCAATGTTTCAAAAATATTTGTTTTAAATGTAATTTATTTAGCTTTAATTTTTTTTTTTTTTTTGTTATTGTCTCTCATCAGTCCAATTAATCTTAATCGTTTTTTTTTTTTTGCTTTTAAAAATGTTCTCAAAACGACTAAAAAATCTGGCCAGCTTTTCGCAACTAAATATTATTTAAGTGGTCAGCAATCGAGAGCGATCGCTCCCGCTTTCCGACCAAGCCTGGGTGGATCACTTTATAAAATTTCGGGGATCCTATTGTCATTTGGTAGGAAAATCATTAAAATTTACAGTGTTTGATCCAAATAAGCAAAATATTATGCAGATCACTTAATATATTTTTGCGAATCACTTGATATAAAGTGGTAGATCAAGTTTTTTGAGTTCATAAACTTTATAATACATTATAAAATTATACAATATTTTTTTGTTGTTCGATAAAATATTTATATGCAAATACCTTCTAAATCTTATATCTTTTATGAAATTAAACTATATCTGAATCATTTTTTATTTTTTTTCATTTAATGAAGTATGACTCACTGTATAAAATGTTAGTGACGTTTAAATGATCCGCCCCGCCAATTATACCGTTTAAATGATCCGTTCTGCTGATCCGCCCCTTCGATTGTACCTACTCTTATATTTACGCCAAAGTCTTTTTATCTACAATTATTATTGTTACAAATTTTATTATCTCCGCAGGAGAATAGCTGCATTATAATATAAACAAATATTTCAAAGTCGTTGTAGTTGAATTTCATTAGAGAAGCTTGTTTGAAGTATATTTTACAAGCATACATAAGTAAAAAAAATATATAATTAACTCTATAAATATTCCTTCTGGTTCTAGCTTGTAACTAACAATTTGTGCAACATTTTGTATAATTACTAATGAGGGATTTAATAGTGATAAAAACAAAATAATTTCTAAAAATTTAACATAATCATTAAGTTACATTAAGGTAATGGTCGCATTATACATTAAGTTAATGGTCAAATGACAGCATCTCTGTTTCCGATAACACATCAGCATGTATTTACTTATATAGTATCAGACAATATTTTGAAAGAAGAGTTGCTAAACATAAAATAGCTGGTTATCATTTATTCAAATAGAACTATGTAAAATATATTAGAATTAAACCAATTATTTTATTATATAGAATTAGGAACAATAATGATTATTGAAATTAAATTTGGCCAAAATCATTTTTGTGAAATATTTATTAACGAGTAAATGAAAAAATGTTGAAAAATTTAAGCCTATTTATAATGGAAAAGTCTCTATTTTGCGTTGACCATTTAATGTAAACTAAATTGAGTGAGGAAAATTAGACTTTTTTGTGCAATCAATTAAATTTGAAAATAAAAACTGGATCAATAAAAGTTTACCTTGTTTAAATACATTTTATTTTCAGTTTATGATTAAAAAAATATTTGAAAGGATGTAAAAGTATGTAAAAATTCTTATAAGAAATTAATATTTTTTTTATTCTTCATTATTTTTTTAATTGGGAATTGCATAAAATAATAAATTTTTATGTTTTACTTAGTTGCTAAAGCATTTAGCTACACAACATAAAATCCCAACTTCTTTTTTTGTTTGTTTGTTTTTTAGTTAAATAAGATTGTTTGATGCACTTGTTGTTATTATTTCTTTGAAATCTTATATAGTGCAAAGATTACTCCAATAATATAGTATTTAAAATTTGAACTAAAAAATTTAAAAGAAATAAAGTACACCAAAGTCTATCGGGACAATCTCAGTTCTTTCAATAATTGACATTTTATTCAACTTATTTTTGTTATTTACTTCCTCATACATACAAATGCCATAATGAATTGTATTTAAAGGAAAAAGTCAATTGATCATTCATGGCTCTTCGCCGACTTATCGTGTCAGCAAAAAGTTAAATATTTAAACCAAGGTCAGTAACATACACACTAATCATAAATAATTTTTATGCTTTAAATGCCAGTTTAAAAACGTATTCAGACCATCAAATCAAAATGGTGTCAAAAATACTAAATTATAATGATACCAACAACACTTTACAAATCTTATTGGACACGATGCAATTTAGGTAAAAATTTATAAACACATTAAATTTGTACTAACTATTTTAACAGCAAAGAGAAAGCTAAACTAAAAAATAGCTTAAATGCATCAAATTATGACGTAGGTAATATCTATATAAAAAAAAATACAGCAAAGAAAAATTTTTATTTGTCTTGTTTTTATTCATTTCCTAAAAAAATTGTGCATTCTCAAAATGCTAATAGACTTGAAAAACTCTACTTTAAAGTGTTACGGTAAAAATATATATAAAGAAAAATAAATTAAAAAAAAATTCTTTGTGTTGTAATACCTGGGCAGTTGATTTGATTACAACTTTCTTCATCTGTCACTTTCTTAGTTCCATGTTGCGAATATCTACTTCTACTACCCACTCCACATGTTATGGAACACTCACTCCAAGTTGTCCATTTTTCTGAGAAGTAATATATATATATATATATATATATATATATATATATATATATATATATATATATATATATATATATATATATATATATATATATATATATATATATATATATATATATATATATATATATATATATATATACACACTATGAAAAACAAGAGTACAAATTAAAGCTTGTTGTTTTATTCAAAAGTATTATTTTTTAAAATACAAAAAAATAAAAAAATTAAAAGTATCTGAATATTTATTGGTTATTACAACAAATATATTCCAAGTGTCAATATTTTGACATATATATTCCAAGTGTCAATATTTTGGAAAACTGCCTTTAGTTGCAATAGCTGCTAAGATGTGTCATGGCATACTTGCAATTGACTTTTTTATAATCTCTGTTAACTCTGGGTTATTGTGCCAGATCCTGATAATCATTTCCGAAATATCTTGCTTGTTGGTTTTATTTTCTTTTCCATTTTTTTGCTTTACTAGCTCCCAAATGTTTTCTATGGGGTTGAGATTTCCTTTAGGTGGCAGTACATCAAATTTTTTCAGTTTTAAATAACCCATATCACTTTTTGCTGTGTAGCAACTTGCACCATTTTGCATAAATATAAGATTTTAAATATTTTTAGACCAATCTACCATTTTGGAAAACAACAAAACTCTCCAGAATTTTTTTATACTGGTCCTGTCTCTTTTTGTGACTTTTTCGCTTTTTCCAGGCAGATGTTCCAGATGATTCAATTTGCTCATGGTGTTATTTTGCATCTAGAAGGTGGTCTCCTTACATAAAACTCTATCCAGTACCATTTTTTATTCTCACTCGCGTTACGGTTTGTTGAGAAACCTTTAAAAATTGCACAATTTTTCTCTAAAAATATTATGTATTCTGTAAAACACATCTAATTTGACTATTTTTATTGGTGCAATATCATATTTCTTCCCAAAAGCTGAAAATTTAAATTTAGAACTTCAAAAAATGAAATAGCTGGCCTCTTTACTTAAACATTAAGAAAAACAAATCTTTTATTTAAAGATAAACACTTTCTGATTATCTTTAGTTTAACAAAAAACTAATGAAGCATTTATGCTTTGAATTAAACTAAATCAAATCGAAAGTTAAGTTTTTAACTAGTTAAAAGTTTAAGAAGTTAAGAAAGTTAAAAATAAAAATTTAACTATATACTAATATATAAACTAATATAAACTATAAACTAATAAATAAAAATTGCTTAAAATGCCACTAAATGCACAAAAATGACAAAGGAAGATATTTTGCTGACAGCCAAAATTGTCAATTGATAGAATTTTTATTAAACTTTACAGATAGTTAACTTTGTGACTCGTTTTCCTGACAACCCTAATTATTTACCTTCACTCCTTGACTTATGTCTTGTCTCTGACCCTAGCTTATATTCAGTTTCTCCCTTTTCTCCCTTAGGTCGTTCTGACCATGCAATGATCTCTATAAATCTTTCTTCTCGTACTTCTTTTTTGGGCTCACCTTATCATCGCACCACTTACTACTACCCTAAAGCTGACTGGGATTCCTTTCGTGATTTTCTTCGTGATGGTCCTTGGGCTGATGTTTTTTCTCTCTCAGCTGACAAATGCGCCTCCTACGTAACCTCCTGGATTCAGGCTGGAATGGAAGCTTTTATTCCTTCTCGTCGGTTTCAAGTCAAGCCTCATTCTACTCCATGGTTTTCTCCTTCTTGTGCGGCTGCTATATCCAATCGTAATCATTTTTTTCATCTTTTTCAAAAGAACAACTCTCTTGAGAACAAACGGCTATTTATTATTGCAAGAAATCGATGTAAAAAGGTGCTTTCTGATGCTAAACTCCATTATTCTCAGTTCACTAAATCTCGCATCTTATCGCAGAAGTTAGGCTCTAAAGACTTTTGGAAAATCTTCAACAGCATTGTTAACAAGGGTAGATCTAACATTCCATCTCTCATTCACGGGACTGATCTTGTTACCTCTCCCAGGGATAAGGCAGAACTGTTTGCAAAGAACTTTTTTTCTAATTCTACTCTTGAATCTTATGGACATTCTCTTCCTTCCATTCCAGTCAAACAGGTTGACCCATTGTTAGACATTCAAATCACTCCGACCTCTGTTGCTAAAGTCATATCTCAACTAAACTCGTCTACAGCTTGTGGTCCAGACAACATTCCTGTCACAGTCTTGCAGAATTGTTCTCCAGAACTTTCTTCAATTCTCTCTAAACTATTTAACAAGTGTTTGACTGAGTCTTGTTTTCCTGCTTGTTGGAAAATGGCATCTGTGGTTCCAATATTCAAAAACTCTGGAGAAAATTCTGACCCTTCCAATTATCGTCCGATCAGTCTTCTTTCTGTTATTAGCAAGGTCTTTGAGTCTTTGATCAACAAATTCCTCACATCTCATCTTGAGTCAAATAAACTGCTGTCAGACAATCAATACGGTTTTCGATCCTCTCGCTCTACGGCCGACTTGCTAACTGCTGTAACTAAAAGATTTTATCGTGCATTAGATGGAGGCGGTGAGGCTAGGGCTATTGCTCTCGACATATCTAAAGCTTTCGACAAAGTTTGGCATGCTGGTCTTCTCCATAAGCTTGCTTCATATGGTGTTTCTGGGAAAGTTTTTGAGATTATCAAATCATTTCTTTCTAACCGGTTTATTAAAGTCATCCTTGAAGGCTAACACTCTTCTTTATTTCCAGTAACTTCTGGGGTTCCCCAAGGTTCCATCCTGGGCCCTGTTTTGTTTCTTATCTACATAAACGATCTTCCTGACAACCTTTCCTCTAAAGTAGCTCTTTTCGCTGATGACTCAACTTTATACTCCTGTCTTGACAAAAAGTCTTCTCTTTTCGATCGCCTAGAACAAGCAGCTGATCTTGAATCTGATCTCACTTCAGTAATAGATTGGGGTTCACAGTGGCTTGTGAATTTCAACTCTAAAAAAACCCAATTGCTTAGTGCAAACAACTACCGTAATATGGTCAACATTCCTATATTAATGAATGGCAATCCTCTTACTGAGTCCTCCTCTTTATGTCTTCTTGGATTATCGCTTACTACTAACCTTTCATGGAAACCATATATACAATCAATTGCTAAATTAGCTTCTGCTAAGGTTGCTTCTCTTTATCGTGCTCGCCATTTCCTTACTTCTGATTCCATTCTCTACCTCTACAAATCTCTTATTCGTCCCTGTATGGAATACTGTTGTCATATTTGGGCTGGTTCTTCTAATGATTCACTTTCTCTTCTGGACAAGGTCCAAAAACACATTGTAAATGTTGTTGGACCTGGACTATCTGCTAAGCTTGAACCTCTTTCCCATCGTCGTAAAGTTGCATCCCTTTCTCTTTTCTACAGATATTATCATGGTCACTGCTCAAAGGAGTTATCATCTCTAGTTCCATCAACTAAAATTCATTCTCGTTTTACTCTTCATTCAGCTAAGTCTCATTCGTTTACTGTATCTGTCCCTGCATGCTCTAAAAACTTTTATTCATCTAGTTTTTTTCCCCGCACTTCAATCCTTTGGAACTCTCTCCCATCTTCATGTTTTCCTGACTCATACAACCTTCAACTTTTCAAGTCTTCTGTCAACCGTTTCCTTGCTCTATAACTCTGTTCTTGTTTTTCCTAGTAACTCCCAACTTAATAGTGGTTGCTTGCAGCCTTGTTGGCAGTGAATGCAAATAAAAAAAAAAAAAAAAAAAAAAAATACATTTACATAAATTAAATTGAATTTATTAGCACTAGAGATCTTTCAAAAAGTCATCAGTGGTGCTTTTTATGTTATTGTTGCAAAATTATATACAAAAACAAGTAAATTACACATGGTTACTATAAGCAACTATTGTAATTGATGAATTTTATTTTGATATGGGAAATATCAATTAAATGTATTATATATTTTGCTATGTAAATGCATTTTATATGATAATAAAAAACTCTCATTGTTAAGTTCAAGAAAGACAAAAAATTGCAAAAAAGATTTAAAAACACTATATAGGCACGTTGACAGGTATAAATATGGTTGTCAAATCTATGAGTGGATAGACCAGTTCTACAACATAAAATATGTCTGTTTATACGTAATCTTAAATTAATAGTTTTACCAGTATATGTTGCTTGTTTATTAAATGATAAACATTTAAGGTATTAAACCATATTTTTACTGTTGCAAATGATATGACTTCTCACTTTCTTTATAGTACCGTTAGATATTTCAAACTCATCTGCTTCTTTATGGTAGAGTTTGCAAATTTTGCATCAAATATCTTTGCATTTGAAAAATCCAACTTTTTTGTTGGTTATTTCAGTATATGAAGAAGTAAGTTTTATTGAGTGGCTAAGGAGATTGTTTAAATGCTAATACTGAATAAATATTATTTTAAAAAATATTATAACTCATTAAAGAAAATATTTATTTAGATTTCTTTTCAGAAGCTATATTACATAACTATATTATGTCAGGAAAATTCACATATACACAAGAAGCTATATGAAAAGTTTTCATAAAGTTTTTGTGATATATGTGAAATGTTTTAGGAGAACAATATCTCATCAGCCATCTTTCTAATCTTTCTAATAAGCATTTCACATGTGATATAAATGCTAATCCTCATCAAAAATTTCACATGTATCAATGCTTTTTGCATTAAATACTATATAAAATAACATATAATTAATATTATATTATTATGTTATATTTTATCAAGTTCATTAATATAATATTATGTTAAAAGAAAAGATATCGTTCAGTTAAAGCACTATCATATCACCAGTGCAAACTGTAAAGAAAATATATCTGTTTTCACATAAACTATGTAATAATAGATAACAGACACACAAAAAACCAGAAGTATGGATAGAATAAATCTATACTTCTGGTTAATATATTGATGTTGTTGTAGCTACATATTAGTACAAACTGTACTTAAAGTTTTCACTGATATGTTGATTTACTTGATAATGCATAAGTCAAACAATATTTAT